AGTTTTTGTTTTTTGTTGGGGTTTTTTTTTCAGTTTGCAGTTCTCTTCTACTAGTTATTTGCATGTTTCCATAGTCCCTTTGAAACTGTTTTTCTGATTTCTAGGACCTGTACTGTCTAAATCCTACTTTCTTAAAGGAGCAGACCACTGCAGAAGGTTCATCATCACAATGTCTGCTAAAAATGTATATGACTATAATTATTATTATTATTATTATAAGCATGCTCAGATAGTAGCTGATGTAATTAAATGCTTGAGTTTCACAAAGCAGATGTGAGCTTGGAAAATGAGAATGAGGAACTAAAAAATCAGTCTTTTTCTTCCTGTTTCTTCATCTCCCCCATGAAGAAACAAAAAGTGTGAAAACATTTTCTCACAGGAGGAGAAGAACGCTCAGAACAATATTTAAAATTAAATTATTGCTGCAACTGACTCCTTCCATAGAAACTATTTAAAGTATATTTTGTTTTAAATTGTAGGCAATTATACTATAGTATACCACAGGCCAAATTTTGTGCTGTCCATAATTGTTTTACCAGACATGTTGATATCACCACATATATTCTTTACATCTATGCTTATCATTCAAGCCTTTTTATGTAAAAAATTGAGCTGTTCTCTGTAAGTATTACATCATCAGTCAGAAAAGGTATCTAATAAGACTCCAGCTACCTTGGTGTGACTTGTCATTTTTTTTCTTAATTTTCAACTGATGATTTTATATTTTCAGTACTTGATTGTTCATATTTAGAAATTGTTGATGTGATACCAGCTTAAATGTATCAGTGTGCAATACAGCCATTTTTAGTATTTTCTATATTTTTGTTAAAACTTAAATTGTATTGTTTATTTCATAACTATATTTAAATACTTTAGATTAAATTCTAATAACTTATTTCTCAAAAACTTCCTTTAGATACTTTTTTAAAGTAAGTTTATAGATTTACAGTGAAAAGAAAATTAGTGAAGATTTTTTTAACCTCTCCTCTTTCTTTTCTCCTGAGGGGAGGAACAGAGAGGAAGCCTCTATTCTTATGAAATTTGGTGTCTCTAGCTAATGCTAGGACTGGAATAATAATTAGAGTTTAGGCCACTGGAGACTGTTTATCTAGATTTATTGCTATGCCCAAAAGTCTTACTACACTGGAACATTGGGTTATTCTGCTTAAAATAGATTTCATGTCCCAACAATTGATATGTTTGATTGGAATTCAGTTCAAAATCAGGGTTTATGCTAGTCATTGAAGGGAAGCCAGGGAAGTTGGTATACCAGCTAGATGGAAAGGAGTTAGCTAGGAGAGAGTTAATTAGGATTATTGGCATGTACTAGCTAGCTGTGTAAGTGTAGAGTTGGAAGAGGTTGCCAAATTTGGGTTAACACTCAGATTAGATTTGGGGCTAGGGTTATGATTAAAATTTATTCTACTCAGGACCGTGTCTGATTTAAAATAATTAATGCTAAACTTCAGGCTTTAAATGTTAACTAGTAAGAATTTCAAATCAAGTTTCTTAGAAACTTATGCCGTGTAGGTCAAACTTCATTTTGCTTTTTAAATTTTTCTTTGTAAACTACATTGTAATGAATACGCGAGTGATTTTTCATTTGTTTCCTAAATCTTTTC